AAATGTTGGTTGGTTCCCAGTTTGGTGACAAAGTTTTGGAATCCGTGGTCGGTGAATAATTGGCTGTACATCACGTCGAAGGAACTTCCTTCGTCGACGAGGATGCGGTGCACGTCAAAGTTGGCCATTCTTGCTCTTATCAGCAAAGGAATGACTGCGTTGGGGGCTCCTCCGGGGAGCTCTTCAAGGTAAAAGGTGATAGGCTCCGACCTACCTTTCACCCTTTCAAAAGTCACCGTCTGAGGAGGAGCGGAGTCGACCAGTTCATCCAGCTTTCTCTTGGCCGAATTGATGGTTAGGTCGTTGAATCCTCCATCATTGATGACCATGGCGGAGGGAAAGTATTCCCACCTGCTGTGCATCGTGATTGGCTCCTGCAGGTGCTCGGGTATGTAGAGGTCCTCCGGTTTGGTGACGGAGAAGGCGGTCTGGACAAGGACCGACTCGTCAGATGGTCGGGCGTCCTCCTCCGGTTATCTTGTCTCCCGGGCGTCACGACGAGGAGCGTCGTTTTGCCGGTATTGGGTGAGCCTCCCTCCCTTGATGAGGGTTTCGATGGCGTCCTTCAGGTGGACGCAGTCTTCAGTCAGATGACCATGGCTCCTATGGTACTGGCAGTATTTTCTCTTGTCTACTCCGGGCTTGGCAGGAGCAGGTCGAGGGCGCTTGACCCCGCCATCTTTAAAATCCGTGTTGGCACACTCCACCAAAATGCGCTCGCGGGAAGCTGTGAGCGGAGTGTACTCTGTAAAATGCCCCGAGGGTCCTCTTTGCTCTCGGGGTCTGTCCTCTTTTCTTTTCTCCCCGGTTCGTCGAGGAGGAGCGGTCTCTTGGCGCGGGTTACTGCTGGATCCGCGAGTTCTGGGGTCCCGGGCTCTGTTGGCCGCCTCCCTTTCCTTGTAATCCATATATGCGCGGACCTTCTCGAGGAGAGCATTGAATGTTCGGTGTGGTTCGATGCCCACTGCCTTTCTGAATTTCGTGCCGGGGAGGAGCCCCCTCTCCAGTAAGTACCATTTCACGTGGTCCGCGCAGAGGACCTGTATGGCTTCGCGATTGAAGCGATTAATAAATTCTCTCAAGGTTTCATCCTGTCTCTGGATGATGGCCTCGAGTGCTGCCTCGGTCTTTGGGTGTCACCGAGACGCAGTGAACGAACTTATGAATTGGTTCTTCAGGTTTCGCCACGAGGTGATTGATCCCGGGGCGAGGCCTTTATACCAATCCATTGCTGCCTTTCTGAGGGTCGTGGTAAACAACCTACATTTGATGGGTCCCCCGACATTGTGGTAATGCAGCATAGCCTCGAACCCGTCTATGTGGTCGACTGGGTCCGTGACTCTGTCGTATTCTTTCAGATGTGGAGGCTTCTCCATGCCCGGGGGAATGGGCGCCTCCATGATGGCTTGTGACAGGGGACCGCGGGGGTCGTCCTCGTCACTTCGCTCCGGGGACAGGGATGGGGACCTGAGATATTGTCGTGCCCGACGGTCCTGGTCGTGCTGGATATCCCTCGAGCGGGGTGCTCGTTGGTCGATTCTTCCATGCCTGTCTCCAGAGTGTCTTCTTTGTTTCCGTGCGGGGCCATGGTTGCGCCCACCGGCTTCAATGACGGGTTGCCTCTCCAAGGGGGTCGTCTCCCCGACGGTCGGGGGGACGGGCTTTGGGAGGTGTTTCTGTATTGTCTCCGCGGGGGAGATGGGAGATATACCTCTGTTACCCGAGGAGGTGGAGTCTGAGGCCTCCTGTGTCTCCTCACGGGTCTTCTATCATCTTCTAGCACCCTCAATCTTCCCCCCTGGGCAAAGATGAGGTAGTTGGTTTGATTGATCGCCGCGAATAGTGCGTGGGTTGTGGCATCTGCCCCGACGGGGACATGGACTTCCTGAAATTGGGCAGCTAGATAGTTTGGGGGAGCTGCGTTGTCCTCTTCGAGCGACGGAGGGACTGTAGAAGATGAGGCAGTAGCTCCGTTGCGGTGGACTGAGGGCCCGGAGATGGTGCCCCCGGGGAGTGTGCTATGGTTGGGGTTGTCGGCATTGTCGGGAATTCCGTTTTTATCCGCGACGTTGTTGTTGGCGTCGACAACGCGGACGTTCTGTTCGTCCCGGACTTGGTCATCCATGACGGTAGGAGGTGATTTTGAGCTTTGGTCTTCGAGGGTTTGCAAGACGGGGAAGCTAGATTCCCACAGACGGTGCCACTGATCTTACCTGATCAGACTTGGACCGTCACGACTGGCTCGGGCAGAATTTGAGTGAGATGGGGGGGGGGGGGGGGGGGGGGTACCTGCAAGACACTCTGATGCTAAAATTAGTGACGGAATGAGCAGGCAAAGGGTGTATGTATGCGTAAGAGATGAATTACCTGACCCTCTGGGCACAAAGGGTATTTATAGCCCCCAGCGCTGGGCCAAGGTCCCCTTACTGGGCCGACCAGAACGGGTCCAAATAAAGGAACTGCCAGGTTTTACGTGTGTAATGGGGCCCCGCACGTGGTTCCCTTACTGGTGATGCTCTGCGAAAAATGAGGAGGGACGAAGACGCGGTCTTTATGGAGTTTAGATGATTCGATAACGGTCAGAGAAGACAGAGTCTGCCCTACGGAGAGAGTGCTCGAGCAGGGCTCGAGCTGGGGTTCCCTTGGTCGGGGACACCATGTGTCGCGGGCAACGACGGACATGGCTGCAGTCTGGGGTCAGGCACATTGGTGGGAGTCCGTGGGCGCGCGTTCCTCGAGGAGCTGCTAGGATTGGGCCTTTATCCATTCTTTTTGGGCCCGGGCGGGCCCAGTCCAGAACAGGTATGTAAGGTTATATAGCCAACGGGGTTTAGCAACGCCAATTGATCAGTTCCTTTTAAAAAAAAATAATTTCCTGGTTTCAATTACTAGCTGTAAATATCAACTATTTTGTTACGAGAGTAAAATACAGATAGAAGTTAGGATCAATAAAACGAGAGTTTGAGATAATAACTGGACAATGGTAATTGTGCATCGACTTAAAATACAGCGAGAGCGTTTTTAAGTTGATTAGGTTTTGTTTGTTTCCAAAAACTATTTTTAAACTCTAATTGAAATAGCGAGAGCACTCACTTAGGTTTGATCGTAGGATCTGAATCAATAAACACGAGAGTGTGAGAAGAGGATTTCAAACAAATACTTCCTACTGAAAACTATTTTGCTAATCCGAGTTAGGTCAATGAGTTACTAAATCCCCGAAGTCCGACCATTACATGCTGATATGTTAGGTTCCCTAAACCCCCTTATGAATTATATTATTAGCCTTAGATTTACGTAGTAACCTAAGATAACGGTAGTTCGACATTTAGTCCCTTAGGATTCGATAATATTTAAAGCTACACGCGATAGGACTGTATACTTGCGGTCTAGATTCTTTAAGATTCACAAAGTCGTGATCACCCTCATCAGATTAATTCTTGAGATAAGCTCATTCCAAAGGTCAGATTTTCTTCTCCTATCACACGACGCATATACCGCAATGAAGATAACTTTAATTCGATCCTCCCCCATTCTCCTTCCAACCACAACGTATGCTCTAGCACCTGTTTGTTCATAATCGAGAATTTGTTACTGTTCCAAATAGCTAGAATACCCCCAGACCTGCCAACCGAAGGTTTGAAAGCGAAGTCGAAATCGTTAGCACCCCAAACTGAATAGCAAACATTCCTGTCAATAGATTCCACCTTAGTTTCTTGAAGACAAATAAAACCAGGTTTCTATCTACCAATCAAGTTGCACACTTCTTTCTTTTTAGCTATTCTTCCAAGACCTCTTATGTTGTAACTGATTATACTAATGGACATTGGTAAAATATTGAAGCTCCTAACCCAAAAAACACTACCCTGCTTAATTATTTAACCCCAATCCCCTTGCTCACACCAATCTCCAATTCTTGGAGTATTTCTCCTTCTTCCTCCTTATGAATTAACCCGAATTCTTTACCTAAGTCCCACACACCTTTTTCTAATTCTTTTGCCTCCCCATGGATCAATCTCTAATTAACTCTATCTGACTCATCCCCTACAAGTTAAATATCATTAAAAATTGGTACCTGATTTTGTGTGCTTTTTCAATGCTTGCAAGAACATCTTTGCTTCCTATCTTTTTTTCCTTTTAAACCAAATTTTCTTCTTTTCTTTGAGAATGATGCTCCTTTTTTTCCTTCTGTCTTTGCTTGAATTGACTTGATTTTCTTCATCCCTATTTGTGGTACTAGCTTCTTCGATTCTCTTCAACATTACTACTTCTTTTTTTCCTACGTTCTCTAAATTTTACTTTTTGAAACTCAGGATTGGACATTCCTACTTCTTTTAAAATAATCAATTAAAACTTTTTTTCTTCAAAAAGTTAGTTTATTCATAAAACATATAGTATACGTTACTTTAGTTTACCTTTTTAATAACCCACTTTAATATTCTTCTAATTGATCAAACCGATTTTAAATTTAAATGTAAAATTATCTCAAAATCTTTTCTTATTTTGCTATGACTTATTTTATCCGATCACTATTATTAACAAATATTTTTTTTTTAAATTCATCAAATAATTAATGTATCTAATAATTATTTAATAAACCTAAAAAAATATTTTTATTTATAATAGTGATCTAAATTTAAATTTCAATTCACAAAATTTAATTAATTTCCAAAACTCTATTCTTGTCCTATTATAGTAATTAGTATAAAATTAAAGAAACAAAATTATGTTTCTCAACAATAACAACAACAAGAAGTACCTCTAGCGAGTCTAGATATATAACCACACCACGTGGCACATTCTACTCTTCTGTAAACAGTAAAAAAAACCTGACAAATGTTTATATAAATAGCAGGATTTTTCTTTCTTTCACAGTAAAATCTTAAAAAACGATTTCACTTCCAAACCGCTTCAAAACTCTTCAGTTCCGTTCTAACTTTCTGAATTTCCAGAATCGCTGTTGCAGATTGCAATCGGAAGAATCATAAAAATTTGTCACAAAAATGGGAAAATGGAATTATCGTCCGAGGTTCTTCTCCCGTCGTAGATCTCCCGATCGTCCTTCTGTTTACTACGACATCAAAGCCCCTCTTCCTGGTAATTTCGTTTTCTCGTTTATTGTTTCTTTTACGGTTTTTTATGATGTTCTTTCTTTGTTTGGGATTAAAAAGTTTTTTTTGTTGGTGAAATTTGGATTAGTTAGGTAGAAAACCTAGGTTAAGAGAAAGGGTTGTTGTGGAATTGTTTTAGAAATTGAATCGAATTATTTGTTTTATTCAATCAATTGCATGAACTGTGTAAAGCATTGTCTATAGTTTGATTGTGATTTTGTTTTGTTTGGAATCATTTAATGTTGTTGAATCAGGATGTATATGTTTTGTTGGTTTGGTGTCTGGTTTGGTTTTAGGTTGTTTGGTGCAGTGTAGTGAGAGGAGATGAAAGGTTGAATGTTGTTTCTTGAGGCGTGTACTTATATATGCTTCTTGCTTGAAATTGTTATGATTCTCAGATCGATGGTTTGATTTGGCCCTCTATTGATTGTAGATGTGTATTCCAAGTTTGGAGAGGTTTTGGGTTTAGATTGAAATTTAATCTTGTATTCATTAGGTTTGTAAAAATTGGGTAATCTTGTTTTCTTGCTTTAAAGAAAGGTGTTGCGATTGTAGTTATTGCTGCGAAGGCCATTCTGTATTTCATATTGATGTATTAGTGTTTGTTTAAGAAGTGATTTAAAGGTTTTAGATGACCATGGAAATTAGGTAGTTACCTTTAAATAGTTGGTAGATTTTAGTAGTTAGAGAGAGGGTATTGTGTCTAATGTATATAGTAATGGAGTTTCGAGTTGTTTTTGTAAGAATTGGGGAGATTTTGAATTAGTATGTGCGGAATGTGTACTGTAAAATAGGGGAACTCTTCGTGATGTCTTTCTTATAAAATTGTAGTTCTGATCAGTTGGTATAGATTGGAGTTGTTGAGGTTGCTCTTGAAAATGATTCAAATAATTAGATGAAAAGGAGGTGTATTAGTGACACTAATCTAAAGAGATCGGTATTTTTGGGGCCGTTGGATTACTTGATTAGTATCACCTATCATAAGCCATAGTATTGAGAGGGCATGTTTTGAATTGGTGATTTTGTTTGAAAGAGGGCAAGCAGAATACAAAACGATCCACCTTTTCCTAAGTGGCGCTCAAGCGGTACCCAGAAGCTTGGATTGAGAAGAAATTAACTTGGATGAAATGAAAGCAAGGAAGTGGACATAGAAATGAAACTAGAAAAGAGAAGTAAAAGTGATGTCTTGAAGGATCATGACAAAACCATGGTTGAAACAGAAACAAAATTAGAACCTTCAGCAGTAGAGGATAAGAGGTGCACAGGAAATCAATAAAGAAGATTGGGAGGGGATCATTTAAAGGGTGGAAGAAATTTAAGAGGCTGACAAGGCTTCTAGGGAGGAGGATAGGAAACAATTGGCTGATGGAGACAAAGATTGTTAGGAGTTAGGTTCCTAGCAAAGGCAGTAAGAGAAGCCAGCATTACGATGGACATGGAAGAGGAAAAACCTGATGGTATAATGGTAAAAATGGAACAGAGGAATAATGGAACACAAAGAAGGTGTAGTGAAGATCATATTCTCAGTCGCAGAGGAGAAACAAGTATAAAACAGAATTAACTTTGACCCGACAATGAAAGAGACTGGAATCACAGTAAGGAAGGAACAAAGTGAAAATAGAAATGTTGACTGAAAACGACCTTGTGATAAATGAGGCTCGAATAGATAATGAAAGGGTGTTTGAGTGCTCTCGCAATAGAGGATGGACTGTGACCACTGACACACCTCTGGCTCACATGCAAACTGACCTATCTTTTACAACCATAACTGCCAGATGCAGTTGGTGGTGCAGTAGCTATAAAGATCGCGGGCAAACATGTAAACAATTGTATCGTTAACCACCGGTTGCACTACATTAATTAGTTAGAGACAATTAGATAGTTATTAGATTCAAATAGGTAGAGAAATAGAGTGTATTATTACAATGTATATAAATAATACATGAGAGCAGATGTGAAGGATCTTGAGTCAATTTGTTAAAGCTGGGGCCTTTTGACATTGAGAGGTGCAGACAAACAGGGGAATTCTTCCCTATTTCATTTGAATTAAATTCCAATACATATCAGGTGACTACTCTACATCATTGGTGTGGTTAGATAAGTGCTGGTTGTCAAAGTTTAAGAAAAAATTCAGATATTGCGTAAACTTTCATATGATTTCTTGACATGGCTTTTATGATTTTTCTTTTTGTATTTTTGGTTACAAGTGGTTGGATCTTCTTTAACTGTATTGTTTATTCCTGAAAACTAGTGATATTTTATTATGTTACTGTTATTCCACTGTAACACTATAACTAATGTACTGAATTTATTGTTTTTCAACTTTGTTAGAGTTTCGGCACGACGGAATACCTCTATGGGAGAAGAAATATTGCACTTTGAGTGGGTGCGTGGCATGGCAGAAGATTGTTGATTCCAAAAAGCTGATCTACTGCCACCAAAATGTGTTTGATTGGATGGATTCAGGTGCCGAAGAAGCATTTCAAAATGCCAAAAAACAGTACTGGGCGAAAATCAACAACCTTCCCTGTGACATTTCTCTGCCTGATCCAGATGCTTATATCGAGAAAGTAGATTGGAATCCTTGTATTGACCCTGAACTGATCAAGGAAATAGATAATGCACACTTTTCTATCCCCGATGAAGAAGAACAAGATGAAGAAGAACAAGAGAACGCCATAAAAAATAAAAGAACAAAGATTTCAGTTGATGGTGAAGATCCTTGGGAATGTGCTGCAAAATCTCTTGGCAGAGCTGTAGAAAATAATAAAGTCAAAGGACAAAACCTGGGGGATTATCATGATAATTCTGAAAATGTGATTGCTACGAACAATCCCTGGCAGAGTAACTTCTTTCATGGAAATCAAAGACTAACTGACAATGCTTGGGAAGGTGGTCATGATAAGTCTGGGGGTTGGAACGAAGGAAGGGACCATAATAATCCGTGCGGATATTGGAATTCTGGAAATGCTTGGGAAGGTGGTCATGATAAGTCTCGGGGTTGGAACGAAGGGAGCGACCGTAATAATCTGTGCGGATATTGGAATTCTGGATGCTTACCAATCGATAAAGGATGGGGCAAACCTAAGGATAGTTCTTGGTGCCAGCAACAATCAAATCATTTGGCTAATATTGGAAATTCTTGGCAATACAACTCTGGCAATCAAAATGTAGTTCCAATGAACACAGGATGGGAAAACAGTGGCACAAATGAATCAAGATGGAAGCAACAAGAGAAAGCTTATGTTTCAAGCGATTCACAATTTAGAAGGAACAATGGAGCAGGTTGGACAGGTGGGAATCCGAGTTACCAAACGAGGGAAGGCTATAACAGACATAATTCTGGCTATAATGGATCTCAATTTCAAAGGGGTGATAGTCAAACAGGCCATTGGAAGAGAGAGCAAAGTAGAAAAAGAGATTTTCGCGCTCGATAGTTTTCACATCATACCGTGCCTCGTTTTATGATAGACCTGTAATATTTGTTTTTTGGTTGTACGGATGCCTGAGGCAAACTTTTCGTCAGGAGTTTTGGAAGAAGATGGTTACTGGTTGCAAGAGTATAGGCTATATGTGCTAATGATTCTAAAAACAAGTAGAAATTTGGGATATTTGCTTTATCCTTGAGGTGAAAATTTTATTTTACAGTTTGGTACTATATAGAGAAATTTTTTGGGCTTGTCTCTTGCATCTTGGTTTGTAGAAAACACTCACCAGTACCTGTGGAGAATGTATCAGTAAGGCTTCCTTGTAACTCAACAACTTATTTGGCTATCTTGTGAAGGGCCATTTAGCGAACCTTTGCTTGTATTGTATCTTTGATCTTGAAAACTATACGTATATCATTGACCTAAAGTAGTTGAATATCTAAATGAACTCAATATGAATTTTAGTTCGATACTATTTTTTATATCTATACAGTCTTTGCTCATATGCTTCAAGAGAGCCCACAAGTTCTGTCACTGATAGAATGGACAGATCTTTGGTTTCTTCAATTGTTGTCACGATTGGATCAAACTTTGGGGGCATAGTAATTAGAATTTTCTCAACAATTTTCTTGTCAAGAATGTCTTCTCCAAAAGCCCTCATTTGATTAACTATTTCTTTAACTTTAGAGTAGTAATCTTTAATTGTCTTAGACTCCTTCATCTTCAATAGTTCAAAATCTCTTTTTAGAGATTGAAGTTTGACAGCACGTACATTAACGCTTCCTTGAAACTCCTCCTGCAATGTGTTCCACGCTTCATTGGAAGTCTTAGCTCCCATAATTCTTGGGAAAATTGCATCAGTTACCGCTTGTTACAAGGTGAACAATGCCTTTGAATTTTTCTATTTATTTTTCTTCAACTCTTTTTCTTGAGCTGCATTAAGAACTGAAGTATCTGCGGGAACAATTAATCCTTCTTCTACTATGTCTTATAAATCTTGAGAAGAAAAAAATGTTTCCATTTTAACACGCCAGAAATCAAAATTTTCACAATTGAAAATAGGGACAAAAATAGTTGATGATTGAGTGGTGTTATCCATGTCTTAGACAAATATTGGAGTGATTTAATACTAGAAGGGAAATTTTTGAAGTAGTTGAGAGAAATTTGAAATGATATGTATTAATTTAATTACGCCCAATGTATGACCGAATGTAGCTCTGATGCCACTGTTAGTAGTGGTATAGTTGATAGTTGATAGAAGATAGTTTTAGAGAGTTGTTTAGAGAGAAGGCTATGTCATTGATTTCTTGGATCATACATTAAAAGATACCAAATGCCTATTTATAGGCTCAAGTCACCAACATCTCAATGGTGGTGAATGTTGTAACGCCCGTAATTTAATTAATCACTTAATTAAATTATTTTTGGAATATTTGTGAAGTTGCGTGGAGATTAATTGGATTTATTTATTCTATTAAGTGGTGAAATAATATTAGAAGTATAATATTATTTGATTTGAGTTTGTTTTAAAAGAATAATAGTAATAAGGGGGTGTGTTAGTTTTAAGCCCAATAAGGAGTAATGAGAATAATAGGTTATTCTATTATTGTTAGAAAGAATAGAAAGAAGAAGCAGTAGAAGAATAAGGGTTGGAAAGAAGAACGTGAAGTTGTTGGAAAAGAGGAAGAACGGCAGAACGGGAATTCAACCGGAAGTTATAGAGCGACCTTCAATCTAAGGTAAGGGTGAGGTTCTGACTCTATAATTGGGTCCAAGATGATTGGTATGTGGGGTTAGAGGTGAAATGTTGTTTTGTCCATAATTGAATTATATAAGATGTTGTATGACGAGAATTGATGATTGAAAGATGAACGATGACGTCCCGATGCTGTTTAATTGATGTAGAATTATAGGATAACTGTAAGTGATGATTATCTATGATTAGATTAAGTTTTTAGGGCTTAAAGTATGGAACCCGTAGTGAAAACGCAGAGAAAATCGCAGAAATTATGCAGGACATAGCAGTATGCGTCGATCTCAAACTTGATGTATCGATACAAGCAGGTCTTTAGACTCAGGATGAGTCGACACGAAGGAGTCTTGCGTTGATACATGAGGACTTTTAGACTCAGGATGAGTCGATACGTAGGGCATGTGTCAATACATGCTGTGTGGTAGACTCAGTATGAGTCGATACAAGAGAAGATGCGTCGACTCATGTTGCGAGTTCAGTGCAATACGCGTCGATCCAAGACATTATGCGTCGATCCATGTTGTTTGGTTTTTGGCAGAATCAGTTTGAGAAGGCTGTAACTTGAGTTTTCGGACTTCGTTTGAGGTGTCGTTCGAAGCGTTGAATAACTAATGAGATGAGCTTTATTCTTAAGGATTAAAGTGAAGAATAGGAAGTATAATCCTAGTATCTCAATTAGGACTAGAGTTAATTCCCGAGTTAATCGTTATGTTGATTTTTGTGAAGAATGATGAGGATGAGATGTACATAGATCGCTGTTTGGTTTGTAACAGTAGGACTAATGATGATAATAATGTAATATTACAGAATAGTGGTATGTAGAGACTTGGTGATTTAGAAGTAAGCCTTAGTTGATTAACTAATTATAGACAATATCTTGTGTAGGCCTATGGCCAACGTTGTGAAATTGATGAGATGATGTTAATGAGAGTTTGTTTTGATGAATTATGATGTATAAATGATGTTTGATGATATATGATGATAAATGATGTCGATGAATGATGTTGGTGAAAAGATGTTGAGATGCTTTTAAGAGGTAGGCCTTTGGCCAACAACGGTGTTGTATTGAGATGTTGTCAGTTATGGTATTGTTATTACATTCATGATTGTGTCACATACATTGCATTTTGAGATGGAGCTTATGCTCTTTGAGATGGCCTGTATTGACGAATATTGAGATGAAGGCCTATGCCTTGTTGACGCCTCTATTAATTGGAAATATTTGAGATGGGAGTTCTGCTCCAATGGTACCACATGCATTTGCATAGTATTGAGTCGCATTAATTGATTGCATACAAAAGTTGTTCATTAAAGTGGCATATGTGGGTATTGTTGATATTTTGTTACGATGTTTGCTGTGGTAATATGAGAAGTGGTGATGTTATGTGATCTAATTTAATATATTAATTATCATGCGCTTTATTATATTAGATATCCCACCCCTTCTGTTTGAATGTTGCCCTTATGTTGGTAACGTGCAGGTAATCAAGAGTGAAGGTTGTATACGTTCAGTAGTTCGAGTCAGGGTCATTGCTCTGATATGTAACACTCGGGGGGATGAACGCTCGTTGTTTTTGATTGTTGATTATTCATTTGTTGAACCTTTAGTTGATTATTATTAAATATGTGTTGTTTTGAAGTTGCCTTAATGATGATAAAGATGTTATTAAGAATTCCGCTGCGTAGATGTTGAATTGTTGAATTATTTAATTAAAGTATTTATGCCGATGGTTCATCCGAAGTTTTTAAGTGTTATGTATCCACGATGGATACAATGAGTTTTAATGATGAATTTGTGGCATCCTGATTCGCTTGTTTGAATGATTTTATAACTGATTTATTTATATAATTATCGGATAGAGTTGGGGTGTTACAAAGTTGGTATCAGAGCAAAAGGTTGGTCCGAACTTGTTGTCGAGTCGTAGTTGTCTAACAATCGAGTATTGTTAATTTGAGTTCTAACCGTTGTTTATGTTGTAGTGAGAGGTTAAGATGGCTGGAAGGAGTGATGCTGCACTTGCTGCTGCTTTAGAAACAATGGCTCATGCGATTGAGAATCAGCCGAATGCTGACGGGAATGCTGGATCTCGTAGCTTGGAGACTTTCCAGAGAGAGAATCCGCCTACGTTCAAGGGAAAGTATGATTCTAACGGAGTATTGGATTGGTTGAAAGAGATTGAGAGAATCTTCCGTGTGATGGATTGCACTCCAGCGCGGAAGGTTCGGTATGGTACTCATATGCTAGCAGTCGAGGCTGATGACTGGTGGCTAGAGACCTGTCAAAGATTGGAAGTTGCAGGTGAGAATGTCAGTTGGACTGTGTTTCGTGGGTAATTTTTGAAGAAGTACTTTCCTGAAGATGTCCGTGGTAAGAAGGAGATTGAGTTCCTTGAGCTGAAGCAAAGGAATATGTCAGTTGTCGAGTATGCTGCCAAGTTTGCTGAGTTGGCTAAGTTTTATCTGCACTACGCTGAGGTAGATGCTGAGTTTTCAAAGTGTATCAAGTTTGAGAACGGGTTGCGCCTGACGATCAAGAAGGCAGTTGGATACCAGAAGATCCGTGTCTTTGCTGATTTGGTTGATAGTTACAGGATTTATGAGGAGGATAATAATGCTCATTACAAGATTATCAGTGAGAAGAGGGGTAAACACCAACAGAATCGTGGTAAGCCTTATGATGCCCCAGCTGGTAAAGGTAAACAGAAATTTGCTCAAGGTCAGAGGACTAGTTGGGGAGATGCTTCTGCTGGTGTGGTTTGTTTTAAGTGTGGAAAATCTGGGCACAAGAGTAATGTGTGTACTACTGAAGAGAAGAGGTGTTTCTGTTGTGGTAAGAACAGACATGTTGTATCTGAGTGTGAATATAAGGATGTGATTTGTTTCAATTGTAGAGAAGAATGGAACATTGGTAGTCAGTGTCAGAAACCAAAGAGGGTTCAGACAAGTGGTAAAGTGTTCTCTTTGGTTGAGGATCAGACAACTACTAAGGACAGACTTATCAGAGGTACATGTTTCATTAATAGTACTCCTTTAATTACTATTATTGATACCAGTGTTACGCATTGTTTTGTTGTTGCTGATTGTGTTGAAAGATTGGGTCTTATGTTGTCTTCTTTGAATGGAGAAATGGTCATCGATACTCTAGCCAAGGGGTCGGTGACTACTTCTTTTGTGTGTTTAAAGTATCCCTTTTCGATCTTCGACAGAGACTTTGCTGTTGATTTGGTTTGTTTACCGTTAAGAGGTTTGGATGTGG